GKTTYYTTTTTTTTTTTTTTTTCCACAGATAAGGGAATATAATAATTCTAATTTTGCATTAAGACCATAGAGACCTAAACCAAAAGGAAAAAAAATGAGATGACCGCCACAGTTTCGGGCCAAGCAGAACCACCATCACCTGCACGCACGGCAGGGCCTCCAGCCCAGGCCCAGCGCAAAGCCCAGGCACCTGCCGAGTCATCCCTGTCCTGCTTCCACCCAGGCTTAGCATGTGGGGAGGCAGATACCACAGTACTAGGCTTCCATTGGATGAAAATTCCATTAATTGAGGAAACTGATGAGAAACTAAACAGGGATGCTGCAGTTGCAGGTGATTTTGCCTCAGATGTTGATTGTTAATTAAGTTTATGGGACCTGCATCAATTGCAAACTAAAAAGTCTCCCACCTCTACTATTCCTTTTATTTTTCTTTACACCTCCTCATTTTCACTTGTCAATATGTGATGGACTTGCTTGTTATCTCCTCTCTAGCAAAGCTTCCTTTTCATTTGCAACATGAAAATCTCGTACATTATTTAAAGGTATTTTGAAACAGTCCGTTTCTCTTACGGGCAATCATTAGTTGCATCTTTCCAGCATTAGCACCTCCCTTCCCCTCCAAATTCCCATCACCAATTACTCAAATTAATATAAAACCCAGGAAGTCATMTGCAGTTACAGACATATATACAGACATTTATGTAAAAATGTATTTATGGGAAAACAAACTGTAGTTCTCCTCCTGTAACCAACCTGGTGTTGTTTAGGTAGGTAACACAGGGTGGAAACATTGCCCTCCTCTGCCTGGCCGCTGTCAGGCTGCCTGGCTGCTGTGTCTCCACCACCATTCCCAATAACCCAAACCCATTTCTTTCTTTTTCAACCATTGTCACGCAGCTTATAAGAAAAAATTATATAAAACACCTAGGAAAATTGCCAAAATATGAAAACAGAGACCAGAAGAGAAACTTCTTCCCATTCACTGTTGACAAAAGTCTCCGCATTACTTTTTTATGTGAGTAGGCAGAGCTTATCAGGAAAGAATCAGAAAAGTAAATCATTTAAGGGGGAAGAGCAGAGACTAACGCCTGTTCTGCAGCCCTTCTCTATCCCCTCCAACAGCACCATCGAAAGTGACTTGCGAAATTAAATGTCTTCTGTTCCTGCTTTGCATGTGTAGGGCCCCRCCAAAGCACAATACAAATATACTCTGTGCTAAGACCTACACACAAGATGTAAAAAAAGTACACTAACTTTTACTAAATGTTACAATCAATGATGTAAGGTATGTAAGTAGGGTTGCTTTGTCATATATTGATAGTTACCTCACTTTCACATCCACATTAACTTGATTTTAAATGCAATTAATACATATAGTCAAGGAAGACTAATGGACTACATTCTGCACTTAACCTGGTGGACATTTTCAAATGGCACAAGTGACCAGTGCAAACCTATTTTGCATTGTAAACGACTAAATAAATCTTAATGGATTAAGAATGATCAGCTATCAACACACAAGGGAAATTAAGTGCTGAAATGCCTACATTGATTATTTTAAATTATTAGCCTTACTCTGTTCTTGAATTTGTATGCTTTTAGTGAGCTTTAACACATTTACAAGACTTATTGACTATAATTACAAGAGAATTCAAGTAATGGACACATCAATTATAAGCAACATGTCTTGACCAGACAGTTGCATAAAGAATTCTAAAGCGAGCTCCATTAGCATCTTCCCCTCAGTTTTATTCAGTTTTATCTGCCATAAGAGGGCATATTAAGGGCTCACAGAGCTGTTCCGACCATGTGAACACGAATGTCCCTCCCAAGGCTTCACAGGGCATTTAACATTACATATTAGCTGCAACTGGGTGGATAAACACATTATTGACGGGACAGAAGTCAGGCTGGAAGTATAAAGTGTGTGAATTATTGGTACACATGAATACTGCGGTTATAGGAGAACGCATTGAAAGATGTGAAATACAATGTGTGCGTTCGTTCCTCACGATTAATGTTAAACTTTGTTGTCCAGTCATGTCCTTGCCTTTCTACAAAAACTCAAAAAACTATTTTAGGATTATGCCACAAATTACCATTTCTTTTATGTTTCTTTTTTCTTACCTTTTTGTTCTCTTCCTTGTAACCATGCACTAAGTTTCAAATACTGCATGAATTTAAACTATAGCTTCCATAATAAGCCATTATTTAAAAGTACAGTAAAATAAACCTTACAGTTTTAATGAAAATATGTTCATTGAAATGTGAATTTATTATTCAAATCCACTCATAAATTCAGCCATGGAGACACCACTTGTCTAAGCAGAGCTCAGTGATTTAGAAAAGCTGTCTATTTAAAATAAAGAATGTATGGCAGGTTTATAGAAACATCGCAGTGAATTTTTACATAAATTTAGAACTGCAGCTTATGCATTTTTCTACCAAAAAATGTTTTTAAATTTTCCAGTTAAAATTAAACATAAAAGGGAATTGAAAACATAATTAGGCACAGAAACAAAATCAGATGCTACACGCCTGTGCACGGCATCGACACTACACCCTACCTGCTAAAAAAGACTGACCTATTGCAATGCCCAAAGCTTATTTCTATGAAGAGTCTGGATGCCTATAATTTGTATTTCTTAGGGAGAGATATAATAGCAAATGACTATCTGGAAGCATTACACGATGCTAAAAGTGCAACTGAACTGAACTGAAATAAACTACCTAGACTCTAGAGAATGATGAGAAAGTTGCAGAGTGCAGCTAACTTGGAATAGGAATTGGATAGGAACAATAGGACTTGTTCTCTGAATGATTCCTATATAATTCCTATAATGATCCAGCACTGCTTCATGACAGGAGCTGAGGAACAAAGGGCTGGATAAAGGGAAGGCAGTCTCCCTGCGTGGGGCGAAGGGCAGCAGGACAGCTGTGCTCACAAGGCTCTCGCAGTTTCTGCTGTCTCATCGCTAGACCTTCACACTCCTTCCCATACTTGATACCTGGTGACTTTGCATTTCACCAGTGGTTCGCCAGGCTGYAGGAAATCCCCTATTTCACGGGAAATGGCTATGAGATTAACAAGGAGAAGAGGACCAGCAGCACAAGCCACTCCGTTTGACAGAGGGGGGCTGCAAGGGGAGCATTCCCATACCTGTATGGGTGCGAATGTGAGCTAGGAAGGCCATGGAATTGCTACTTCTACACAACTTCCCGCAGTACTTGCAGACGTTGCCTTGATTCTCCTCCCTCTCTCTGTTTATCTGCTCCGTGTCTTCCACGATGTACTTATTGACCTCCCGCAGCAGCTCCTCGTGCTGCTCTTTGATGTGGAGGAAGAGGTTCTGCTCCGAGTCGAAGGGCTCCGTGCACTTAACGCACTTAAAGGTGGCGCCTCCTTCGGGCAGCTCCTCCACGCTCGCCTGCTCGTTCCGCATGTGCCCGGCACTGGCCAAGTGCTGGTGCAGGTTGCTCTCCGTGTAAAACGACTTCCCGCAGAGCAAGCAGTGGAAATGCTTTTCCTTTGAAGGATGCTTCATGGCTATGTGAACATTCAGTCCGCTCAAGCCATCTGCCAGAAAGCCGCAGTCATCGCAGCGAATGCGCGTCGATTCCCCGGGGGAAATCCCTTCGGGCTTCCTCTTCCGCGCGCCGCCCGGCCACGCGTCGGCTTTCGCGGCCAGCTCGCCGCCTTGCCCTCCCGCTGGCGCCTGCCCTTCCGCGCCCTGCTCCGCGGCCTCCCCGTCCTGGTGGCTCTTCAATCTCACTATAGAAGAATCAAACTTGCCAAAATTCGGCAGCATCTTTCCTTTATCATCAGCGCTGGTAACTGTTCCCAAAGCCTCGTTTCTGCTCCCTTGCATGCCCTCAGCTGTTGAGCCATCTGCCTCCCAAACACTGTTATTTATAGTTACTTCTGCTTCATGTTGTGCTTCCATAAGGGCTTCTTCCTCCTCCCCAGTAGGCTCCTCTTCAAAACTTCTGTCACCCTCTAATCTATGTGTATTTTGTACCGTTTCCCCAGTGTTTTCAGCAACATTTGATTGCTCTGCTGCACTACTTGTTTCCGTAAGAGTTAGCCCAGGGGGATTCTTTTCTTTTAGGTGTATTTCTTCRAGAACGTCTGTGTTTCTACATTCTACTTCACGGTTTTCTCCGCTTGCTTCCAGGCTTTCCTCACCTGTTCCTGGATTCACGTTTGTGTCACCTGATCCCTCCTGATTTCCTGCAGGGCACTCGTTGTCTGAGTGGGGCAGCTCTTGAGCACAGCCGCTCTCCTGAAGATCCTGCGGAGCACCTGCTTCGTTAACTGAGACCTCCTTATGGAGCGCAGCTACTTGGTCCTTCTGAGGAACCTGCTGGAGTGCTTCACAAAAATGATTTTTGCCTCCATTTTTAGCTTCCTCTTCAAGTTCAGCTTCTACTGTATTCTGGGAATGGCYGTCTTGAGGCATTTCTGGAGAGGCAGTTTCATCTAAGCCAGAAYCCTCGGTTATGCTTTTACTCCTATGATCATCCTCTGCTTCATCTTTGGCACATTTTGTGTCATCTAAACCAGTTTCTAACTCTCTTGGACCATGGTGACGCTCCTCTTGGGACAAAGCAGTGGCTTCCTTAACGGTATTCCCTGTGTCTGCTTCCCCCCCAGAAGAACAAACATAAGTTTCTCTTCTGATTTTGTGCTTCTCCGTTGCTGCATGCCGGATCATCTCCCTGCGGGTGACAGCGTAGTAGTCACAAGCCATGCAGTAGTACTCAAACTGCTTCGTGTGCTTTCGTTTCACATGCAGCTCTAACGAGGAAGCAGAATGGGCCACGAACTCGCAGTGAATGCACTTGTTGTCACTTGCACCCACTGCTCTCCGCTGCAAGCACGGGTCACCATCTTGGGGATCCCTAGCTGCTTCCAAAAACAGACCTTGTTTTATACTTAAAGAATTCTGAGCATGCTCCAGATCTGGCAGCTGATGGGCATTTTCAGCTTTTACCCCAGAGTTTCCTGGGCCATCTTCCCGATTTTCTACAACAGGATTTTCCACATCTGATGCGTGGCTATCATCGTCAACAGGCTCATGCAAAACAGTGGTGGGGCTATTAACTTTCTTGCTTCCTGATTCAAAATTGCCTCCTTCAGGGCCAACAATGATCTCCGAGCTCTGCTTTCCAAGTCCTTCTATTTCAACGCGACTCCTGTGCTTTTTGGTGGCACAGTGCCGTTCCATGTCCCCCTTGGTTACAGTGTAATAGTTGCACAGCTTACACAAATAGCTGTATTGATGACTGTGCTTTCGTCTGATGTGAACAGTCAGATTGGTAACGCTGGAGGCCAAAAGACCACAGTGGGGGCAGGTCCTAGAAAGAGTGCCTTTGYGTCTCCCTCTCCTTGGTGCAGTACCTAAAACCAATTTACTGTCCCCAGTTCTTTCATCAGCTGGTACCAGCACTTTATTTCTTGGTATATTTTCCCCAGTAGAGGATGAGACATGCACAATTTCTTTACCTARGTCAGTATTCCCACTCCCAGAAATGGAAGGCTCCATCACTGTTCTCATACCACCAACACCGACACAGACCTTTTCGATACAGTCCTCAAAACGTAGCCCAATGCTATTTTTCCTGGCATTTTCAAGGTGCTTGCTTCTTTTGATATGCTTCTCCATCCCTTCCTTACTCAGCGAGTAAAGATTACACGCTTTGCAAAGGTAGTGATACTCCTGTGCGTGTCGGAGCTTTATGTGCCTTGTAAGAACCGTGGAAGATCTTGTCTTATAAAAACACTTCTTACACTGAAACTGGGTTTTATTGAGGACAGAATGCTTCGCTTCATTCCTATGATTTGCTAAGGAGGGGTCTGGGTTTTTCTCTTTCATTGACACTTCCATATCCTTTGCATGTTTTGGACTGTTGTTCAACTCCAAGGCAGCGTAAGTTACCACTTGCAAGGTCAGATCCCTGTCACTCAGTGGAGCAGCTGGCTCATCGTGTTGCTCATTTTTGTGATGATTTACCAGCTCTTCTTCTGTTAGGAAAAAGAGAAGGCAGCTTGGGCAACTGTGGGACATACCGTGCTCTGCACTCATATGGCTTTGAAGGTTTATCACATTTAAGCACATAAATGAACAAAGTTGACAACTAAATCTGCAGCCTCCCACCTGGTGTTTACTGTCCTGGCAGTGTTGCTGCACGTCCTCCTTGACTAGAGAGGAATAACTACACGTCTCACAAAGAAACTGGATCCTTTTCGTATGAAGCTTTACAACATGAGATTCCAAACTTTTTCTGTTCTGGAAAACAGTATCACAATAACTGCAAGTATGAGGAACATTGTGATCATCAGTAAGTTTAATTTGAGATTTTTTTGTGTCCATAGTGCTGGAAGGAAGTGTATTTGACCTATCTAGAGTAAGATGTTGGATTTCTGAAGTAGATGCAGATTGGTTTTTATCACATGTTTCTAATTCTGCATGCCACGTAGGCCTTGCATCGCCAGCTTTAAGCTGCGTGCGGGAGATCCGCTTCACGTGTTCGCTCTGAGGATCACACCTGCCTTTCCTACTGCTCCCTAGCAAATTATATCTTCTCTTAACTTGCCTTTTTAATCTAAAAGAACTACTTCGCGCAAATGAAGTCCTCAGGAATACAAAGTTTCTTTTATGTTCTAGTCTATCAAATCTCCTTGTCATGTTTGAACTGCTAACTAGTTTTTTGGTTGCTGCAGAGTGTTCTGATTGAGGCAAAATGCCTTTTGAGGGTCCTGGCATTGCTAGCATTGCAGTAGGGACTTGATGATTTTCTTCAACACTGGAAGCAAGTAACATTTCCTTTGCCACAGCAGTTGGCTTTTCACTGGCAGCATTCGTAGATGGTACCACTTCAACAACTTCAGCGCCATCATTTCGTTTAGACAAGCTTTCTTTYGAGCCTTTCAGCGCACTGCAAACATTGCTCAGTCCTTTCTTATCAGCAGGCCTTGTCCTTAATTTATTGGTCCCAGGTTTCATTCTCACAGYCCTCTCCCTGACTGCAGAAAGTTGTTGTTTACTAAAGGATTTTTTGGTCAGCATCTGCACAAATCCTCCCCRCGCCGCGAGGTTTTGGTGTCGCACGTGCGTCTTGCCAAGGAGGTGGGAGGTCAGGAGATTTTCCTCAATGCTCCGAAAACCACAAAGATCACAGCAAAATATCCTGGATTGCTCCCCGTCTTGCTGAATGTGTGTGTGTAACGCTGAGCTGTGATCTGCTGCGCAGCTACAGCGAGGGCATGTTTGCTCTTCGGATTGTCTAGAGTGGCTTTCTGTTGTGTGTTTTTCCCTATCAGAGCAGGAGAGGAAAAGCTGATTACATGTTTTGCCTTTAAGATCATTGCTTATGTTTCCAACCGAATAGCTAACACTGCTTGCTTCGGAAGAAGGCTTATTTTCAGGCAGAGCAGCTGGAACCTCTTGTGCATGTTTATTTTCCCAGTGAATCTTCAATACGGCACCATCAGCACATTTGAAATCACAGTGCGGGCACATCAAATTTGAATTGAATATGTCACCACCAGGACAGCTGGTGACTCCTTCCTTCTTTACAGCTCCATCTACTAAACTAACTGCTTCTCCAAGTAGGCCCTTCTGTAATTTCCTTTCACTATCTTCCATGTGTTCGGAGGAACTCAGCTTTCTTTTTCTGGAGGCATTTTCAGGCCTATCCACTTCAGCAACGTCAGGGTTTGAAGATTCTGACGATGTCCTTTCATTTGTGTCATTCTCTTCTCTTTTCTTTTCGAGGTCCGTGGACATTCCACCCGCGGTGGGCCTTGTTTTCTGCTGGGATGAAGGGGCACATTCGGAATTTTCTGCCGGCGCATTTCTGAGGGACTCTAACGTGGTCTGTGATGTCTCATCAGCATCATCTCTCTTCTGACTATCCTCCCCATCCATTCTCAACAAGGATATTACCGATTGTAGATCATCTGGCTTAGTACCTATAAAATAAAAGGGCTATTATTAGTTTTTATATGCACTCAAATGTTACAAGGCTCAAGTTAAAAAATGATTATTTTTTTAAATCAAATTAAAATCACAGCAGATAGACAGGTACAATGAAAGCAACAAGGCTGCATTTTCCATATGGTGTTTCAACTTGTGGTATCTGAAAATCAAACCAACATCTAAGCACAGGGCTAACAGAGCTCTCTGTGATGAGCAGCACGAAAGGGAGCACTAGCTTCAGCAGAAGCCTTTTTTTGTAATCAAATCAGTGTTCAACTCTCCAAGAAAAGATCATGTAATTTAGCAGTGAGCACTGCAGAACAATGAGACTTACAAGAGCTTAGCATCCCTAAAAGGCTGTTTTATTTACATACTTAATATTTTATCATCTTTAATTTCAGCAGACAAGTCTGACCTTTGTTTTGGAACTATTTTTAGGATATTCTAAATGTAACAGCTTTCAGGGGACCTGCCCTGGGATGCTCAACTTTTCTTGAATTAGAAATCTCAGGGTCCTAAAATCAAAAGCTCTAAGGAAGAAATGGCCATAGCTAAAATAACAAGCAAACTAAAACCAGCACAACACACAAACATGGTAAGAATTAACGTTCTTTCCCTCCTCYGCTTAGACATGCTACAGGGAAGAAGGAAAAAAAAGCCTAAAGAGGGATTTGTTGGGGGGGGGGGAAAAAAAAAGCTATGCAATCATTCCATATCACTCCTAAAATATTCCCTAGAACATCATATCCTGAAGAAAAAACAAAAAGGAAGGATATGAAACAAAAGTTCAGAGAGGAAAAGTCTCTTGAAACTCAGCACAAACTCTAACTGCCCAAACTGCTACCAAAAAGGTTTTTCTCAGCTGCCTGGTGTCACCTTCCTGCTCCTACAAGTCCTAAAGGGGCATCATCCCTAGAAAACTCATCCATAAACACAGCTTGGTGGGGAGGAAGAAAGGGAGAAAGGGGGAAAGTGGCAATCAAACCTTGACATTTATTACCTTTTCATTTTGAAATGAGCTATTGAGAACTGAAGTTGCATTTAATTTTAACAGACGACTAAATACAAAATGCTTATCTATGCACTTTATGCTACGATTTAAACATCAATTTGCTGCCGATCCAAGTGCCCAGTCTGTGTTCACTTGGCCCCTGAATGAGGCCATGACCACAGCAGTAAGTGCGGTAACTTCCTGATGGGATCAAGCAGCCGCAATGTTGGTACCGACTAGAATATGGACAATAGCGGGTATGAGACGCTAGTTAAGAAGATGCTGAGAAACGAGAAGAACACTCGAAGCACCACCACACGTGTTTATTTTTTGAGACTAAGGACTCGACCAGCAGGGCCATACGGCCGTGCAGCCGCCATGTCCCGTGCAGAGGAGGCCTGAGCGCCTGGAGAAGGTCCGAGCACCCCGGCTGGGACACAGGAAGGAAAAAAGACCTGATGAAATGATGCTGTTTAATTGGTGTAAAGGGTTATTAACACACCCTGCTTAGGAAGCATGAATAAACTATGCCAGTGATGAGTATCACAAGCCCATCCTCAATGTTGGTCTCCATGCAGCAGCCCTGGGCCCTTCACCTTGTGGCCCAGCAGGTCCTGGGCCACCGCCGACACTCTCTTCTCCTTCACGTCCTACAGAAAAGCACTTTTTCCCTTCCTGCACAATGCAGTTGGCAGGACCAAACTAATCCCCAGCTCTTTATCCCCTCAGACCATTTGATTTATCAGAGACCCTGTCCAACGGTGAACTAACAGCCTGCACTGGAAATTTCCACGATCAAAAGGTGTCTCTGGATAATTAGTGGTTTCCCCATTGACAAAAATGTGCGCGCTGAGGCCTTATTAATGAGCGGGGCACGGCCRCCTTCTCACCACACTCCCTCCTGACTCCCGCTCTCACTGAAAGTCATGCTGTAAACGGAATTAAGCCCTGAAGYGCTGTCACCCCCAGACCGACCTCCGGCGGGAAGCGCAAGCCACTCGCGCTCGCGGCCCAGAGCCACCCGAGGGGGCTGCTTCCCGCTCGGGAGGCAGCAGCTCCGGCACCACTGCGTGCCGCACGGCCGCTCGCTGCCCTGGCGCCCCTGTGTACACAGGGCTCGTGCTCAGCCATGTCCCCCTGTGCCCGCTGCATTCGCACGGCCTCGCACGGCCTGCTCCGGCCCTCAGGACAGYTCCTTGGCACGGTTACACAGTCCCTCAAACACTGATCCCGCAGCTCGCCACGCAGACAGCAAGTGGGGCCCGTGCGCCCACCCTCGAGCCGCGATGGCCGCCGGTGGCGYGCGGCAAGAGCACTTAGCAGCCCCAAGCATCGCTCCTCGGCCGCGCGCACCGAGCCCGCGTGGCGGGAGCCGACTGCTGCCTTCAGGCGCCTGCTTCCTAGCCCAGGGTGGGTAGGAAGCTGCCCAAATCCAGCCTCCCTGCTCCCCAGGGTGGGCTGCTCTCTGTCCCAGCTACGCACAACTGGCACCCAAAGATCCCTCAGAGGGGCTCCCATCAGCAGGAATGCCGTCTGCTAGAAAGAACTCCTCATAAAAAGAAAATATCTACGTCCTGGCTGCCTTTATCTCACTCCAGAAGTATCCTTCAGTTATTTGAGCAATTAATTTTCTTTACATTTGCTTCAGTTCTCTTGAAGCTGCGTTCAGGGCAGCTGTGCATCTTCTGGGGTGGGTGTTACTGGCAATCATCTCTGCTCGCTGCTGGGGCCACAGTCGCAGCATTTGCCAGTTCTCTCGATTTCAGCTGAGATCTAACCACAAGACTGAACCGTGTCTCAGTTTCTCTCCACTTTGACCTTTGCTCAGCAACAGTTTTATCTCTAAAACGTTATTTTAGCAGCAAATGCCTCCAATTTCCTGGCAGGATAGTAGGACCTCTTGGTTTCCTGCATGGATTTGTTGTACGATGGAGCCCCCCTGCCCAGCTCGTGACTCTGAGCACTGGATGGACCCATTCCGCACCCCACAGCCCTCCTGCAGGCGGGAGAGGCCGTCTTGGCCCTCCTTTGCCTTTGCTCCCTGGGCTCTTCCCTGACCACAAGCTCCTCTCCAGAGAGCCAGGTACTTGGGTACTTTGGATGAAAAAGGGATTGTTCCGGTAGCAGAGATTCTGCATCTGGAATTCAATTATATCAACTAATATTCAGGAGTGTGCATTGGATGCAAGAAGAATCCCTCTGCAGCTATAGCAACTGCAGCACATGCCTAAAGATTAGTCCTATTCAAAAGTGTGATTTTTGATAACAGTTTTTAAAATGTTTGCTGTTCCACAGCTGTACTGACACTATAATGCTGATAAAATCACATAATAGGAGAAGTGAGGAAGAAACTTTTTAATGTAATAAGTCTAAAGATGTGAGGTACAAGCTCTGGGGCTTCTGCATCTACCTCCACCTTCTAAAGACTCCAGTTTAGTTCTGAGAAGTAACAAAAGGTGAAGTGCAGCGACACACAACCACTTCATGTATTGCACAAATATATCGGGATGGACTTGTATAGGCTCTATATTCTTTTGCTTGGAAACATCCGTCCCTTATTTCAGGCATTTTGAGGTTATTTGGAAAAAACTGTTGTTAACACTTTGAAAAAAAAAAAATAAAGGCAGCAGCAGCTTGCTGTGGCCTGAATATTTCTATGCAGAAAACACTAAGCTCAGCAACTCTATTGGCAATATCAGCTAAGTCTCCAACTAAGAATCTTTAGCTCTATTACTTGATTTTGTTACAGTCATATTTTTGTGCATTATGCACTTGTAACATGAAAATGTGTTTCCTCATATGAGGTGAGGATGTGAATATACACATTTCTATGCTGATAAGACATATGCACCGATAACTTTGCTTTGAAAAGTGTAAAAATATATTTTACTTCTTTTGGATAGTTGGATGCTTGCACAGTTATTGAGGGAAGGCATCACACTAACACTTCGCCTCTTCATGCATCAGGATCTCCAGGCGGTCACAATCGTGGAGGCTGTTTGAATGTTTCACCTTCCTCCAATGTTTTCATTGCATCCCAAGGAATACTTCCTGTCCCCAAATGACTGATGCTTTGGTACAGAACTGCACCATACACTGGATGAGCGTGTAACAAGAAATCTTGAGCGTTTTCTCTATTTTTTCTTCTGGTAGTCCAGATAATAGTATAGAATTCCTCTATGCTAATAGATGTGCAACTGAGATTTACAATTTAAGACTTGCATTTCCTAATCTTCAGATGAAATTTAGAAAGTAGTAATTTTAATTTAAGATCAGAAAAGCAAGCAATTCATTAATGATCCATAAACCTGTAATGAACTGCAAAGTTTCTTAACTTAATGCTCGGAAGATATTTATTTACTTTTCTTTCTGAACATATGCCAGCTCTTCAAGGAAAGGGGCATGGCTACATATAGAAGAACGCRAAGAAAATACATTTACAGGTATGAAATTCTTCTGCCATTTTTATTCTTTACGCTAATCCTGGCATTATAATTTGCAAAGCACTTCTCAGATAGCATATTATCATCTCCAAGTATTCAATAATCAACCTATAGTGTTTGTAAGAGATTTGACACATGAAAAACAGACTTTCCTTTTTTGCCTTAGAAATTCCTCTTTTCAAACAAATCAATTCTTTCAATGAAATCATAGACACAATGAAGCAAGATCATTTAATGAGCTCTTTAAATAGCCTGCACAGAACGGAACGTGAACAACTCATCTCAATGTAAGACCTTTGTGCCAAATAAGCAACTACTCATATTCAAGGGCAGAACATCCGTCCTAAATCACATCGCAGGTCTTTCTTGTGGCCCTGCAAAGTCAGCTGGCTTCCTTTAAGGCTCTCTTGATAGATGGAACACAGGAGACAGGAAGATTCTTGGTTCAAAAAGAACCAACTTTATTGTGAGCAGCGTTGGGGTTATTGACTACAAACATGTATTTTCCCTTGCAGCGTAAGAACGTTGGAATCTCAAGCTATGTGGCTGTGATGATATTTTTTCTCTGAGCCACCCATCTTGCCTGGGCACCAGGAGCTCCAGAGGAAACTTCCAAATAAGCTATAGGCTTTCAGAGACTTCCAAAGCACCTACCACACTGAGAGATCTGCAATAATTACAGGAACAAAGTAAAATGCATGCTAACAGTCATCACTCAAGTGGACAAACTCAGGCAATTTGCACTCCTTAAATCCATTTTGTCATAGGTATCAGGAAGGGCTGTACTGGTATCACAGGGAAATGGACCCCACAGTACTGTCCTTCTTGCATAGGATACATACATACCGTCCTTCTTGCTTCTACTTCCAAACCACTAAAAGCACTTCCAGAGAASGATAGAAAGAAGAAAGGC